GGGGTAGAACAGAAATGTTTTAAAGATGTAAAAGGATAGACAAAAAAGGTAGAAAAAAGGTGAGGTGTGTTCTGTGGAAGTAGCCGAATATGGCGTACAGTGGGGTCATGGTAGTTTGAAGTCAGAAGTAAACTGCCGAATAATAGACTTTTTTGCCGTATGGGTATACGTTGCCCAGAGTGCACCACGTGGAGTTAAGTCTATCTCGCACCCCATTCAACTGCATTTAATAATCTAGATTAGATTGACTTCTAGATGACTAGAATTGTCTTCGTTTGTATCCGCAATTTACCAAAGAGCGATCTAGCCATTTTTAATAGTTTCAATCCTTCCCTAATTGAACTTTTTTGTTTCACTGTGTAATGTGTGAATATGATCTCAAATATTTTCAACTTATTTTAAAGTAATCGATTTGTCATTACCATAATTCGTTTGAATTCGAATGGATTCTTTTGAAATATCGACCGCTTAACTGCTCTCTCAAAGTTTGGTATCAACTAAGCATTAATTTTTAAGTGGCTTGTGGTGTGGAATTTAAGGCGCATATCATGGTGGAACCAACCTCCTCAAATCAGCAATAAACTTATTTTCTTCACCACATCAGCATTTTTCTTTCTCATAACCAACGGAAATTGAGCTCCATACAATAAATTTGATCAAGGTCACTATTTCCCAGTTGCATTTGATATTCATTCAAAAGTTAAGACTTGGAATTATATATGTTTTTACATCCGTTTAGCTTTTTTCTTCAAAATTTTCTATGCATCTCCAATGAAAGGGGTTTTCAAACGTTTAATTATTTAGTTCTCTCACAAATTCTGAATCAATTTTTTTTCCGGTTTTATTTTACTCCTATTAATCACCAAATGTTCTCTTTCCGAGCTGTCTTGTTTCTTCTCTTCAGCCGATAAATCCTTCGGAATCGATAAAGCCCCAAGATGTAGCTGGTGCTCAGATCCCCATTCCAATCCATAGTTGTTCTCCCCCTATTGTACAACAATCCTCACGCCACCATCAACTTCTCTCCACCACAGCAGCAGCAGTAGCACCAATTCCACCAGGCCTCCCTAATCCCCCTCCCAGTGTACAGTTAGTTATTCCTCCCCCTCCTCCAGCAGCTTCATCCACTTCACGTAAAAGTGGTCAAATGTTGAGCAACGTCTTCAATCAACTCCTTCACTCTGAACAAGATAGTACAATCGCTTCTCTCTTGAGTAGCAGTGATGGTCAATCCATGGGTACCCCTGCTTCAATGGAGCCTTCATTTCATCCCCGTTCTCCTCCACTCTCGGTTCCTTCCAACTGTTCCTATCCTGCCACTCCTGGCATGAATAGTAACCTTTCTGTGAATAATCCCAATGTTGGTAGTGTTGGTCCTGTGCCTGATCCCTCTCCGATTAATGCCATATTCGATGCAACAGCCGGAACTAATACAGATCTCAGCGATGGAAGAGGGGATTCAAATCCACAGCCTACAGTTCCTCCTCAACCACCCCCACCTCCACCTCCCAGGGGTCTGGCTGCGTACCTTCAGAAATCTCGACATCATGCCGAAGCCGTGGCTTCCCCCGAAGAAGGTGATGCCTATGCAAGGCAACACGGTTCTGTTCCACCGATGTCCTCATCTGCGTCCTCACCTTGGACCGAGCGACGTAGTGGGGCTCATGCAAGCACAGTCTCGAACGTTGGAGCTGGAGTTTATCCAACGTCTTCTTCCTCTCTCACCAGCACTCCAAATGGCCAGGAGGCTGGAATCAAGGAGAAACGAGGTTAGTCTCGAATATTTCTATTTATTTTAAAGTTTCTGCTCAGGAAACACATTACTTAGCAGACACATTTTTAAGCAAAAACTGCAGACATTAGTCTGAATTCTCTTTAGTGTTCTTTTTATGAGCGCTATAAAGATTGCACTTTTAATCCCCATTTAATAGTCGCATTTTTTTCGGCAAAGTTGTGATATAAAAGTTTGATGGCGAGATCTTTCTGATGTACAGAATGGACGAAGGTAATAATAAATATGATTGCATTTCACATCAAATTGGAGTTTCAGCATTTCCTGGTTGTTTCGATGCAGAGGTATCATTTAGCCCCCGGTGCGCACTTATTCAGCAAAAATGCTTCTTAAAGTTCGAAGTGAAAAGAAAAAAGTAGCATCATTAACAACTCTTAAAATATAGAACTTCACTTTATTTAGTTAAGATTATCTCGTTTTTTTTCTATTTTTTTTCAAAACATCCTACGGTCGACTTTTAGTGACAAGAAGATGCTGACATCGGCTCCATAATTTTAGCAGAGACTTGATCTTAACTTTAGAGTAATTCCATATTCTGGGGTCTAACAATCATATTGATTTGTAAGTAAATAGTAACTGTATCAATAAATAAACTCTTGGTATTTATAAATAGCCTGATGGAGAGAATATTACAAGCCAATGATACTCGTTTGATGCATATGTATGTATGTGTACGCATATGTATACAACTTGATAGGTTTATATAATCTCACAATGGAAATGCTTGCCTCATGCTTTGGAATTGATTTTCCTTTGAGTGTGATTGCTAGTTCATCCGGTAGGCTTTAATTCTAAATGTTTTACAACATTCTCATTTGATTAAGTGTTTATTAATTCGTCATAACACATGCCATTGACCCCCAAATTAACATTGTTTATTGATTAACCTGCCATTACAATAAAAGCAAATAGTCATTTCCTAAGTTTTAACCCTTCTATCCTTTCTTTACAGGTCGTCGACGGAAAAGTGAATTGGAGGGTCTCATCAACTGGCAGATTCGCGATCAAACCACTCCTTTGAAGAAACAGCACAGCCTTCACTCCCATCAAATACCCCCCATTTTGGAGACAAATTCACCTCCACATCAACACCCTTCATCCTCCCACCACTCATCTCGTGCCGATGTTAATCCTAGTGACAACGAGGTTATCTCCGGTTTCACAGAACCCCTTGGTGAAAGAGTGAAACGACGTCGCCAACAACACAAAACACCTCCGCGGTCAGTTAGTGGCTGTGGTGATACCGTGCTAATGAATAAAGCCCCCACTGGAAAGAGTGGCTGTAGCAACAAAAATTCAGGGTCCAAACGACCGAGGGAGGACACTCCGAGTGAGATCTCATTATCTCCCAAGCGAGAAAGACGAGGAAGACCCCCAAGGCATCATCAAATACCCTCTTCTGAGGAATCGGAGGAAGAGGTTGGGAAAATTGGTGGCGATGATGGAAGGCAAATTCAAGATGATAATGCGTCCATTTCTAGCTGCCTTACTGACTCTCCTGTTCCACGAAAACACTTCCTTCAACGACTTGTTGAAGAATCCACGAGTAGATCACCTTCTCTCCAGAGACACAATAATTTACAGGTAAGTATGTTCTTTGTGTAATGTGAATAGTCTGGATACTGTGGGGGTTGTGTATTGTACAACCCAACTTATTGCTTTTGAAGTGGATAAGTAAGGTCGTTTGCTACTCTGGTAAGCCCAAACTCAGGATAGAAGGCAAAATGCGTTAATATAAATCACTTTTGTAGTTAGTATCCAAATTTCTAGATGCGTTTGTAAAGTTTTTGTTGTTGTTGTTGGGCTATCTGTTATCCTTCCATCATCAATAAATAGAAGAATACATGACTGAGTTGTGTTTCAAATTCTAATTATTAATTTAGCACTCAAGCTTACTTAAAAATTGAGTCATGGGAATGTTCATAGAGCAGAAAGTGTGTGCAGAAGGTCAAGTATCAAAATTTAAAGAAAACTGCGAATATGACCAAACTAGCGAAAAGCTCAACGCGGATTACCAATAGTAGAGTTCATAGGAAGCGTTTTATTTACAGGGTTAAACTGAACTAGAATGCAAAGCGTGTGTGATGATAATGCCTACAGAGCTCATACTACATACGATGTACTTTTGGAAAGGAGGAAAGAGTTGTTTTTTTGGGCATTATAGCAAATTCAATCGTATCGGCTGGGTCACGCTTCGAGCATGCATTGACCTTCAGAAATGCTGTGAATAGAATTGGAACAGTGTTGTCATGGGGTTATTGATATTAATTGAATGCTCACTGGAACTCTATTTGACTTCTTGGATTAATTGAAATTAACTCCAATCATTAATCTTGATGGTGGGCCTCGAACACGTGACTTCTAGTTTGGTAGATGTGCATGGTACTACTTGCCACCGGTTAATGTAAATACATAAAGAATAAATTGTGTGGTGATCGGCATTTTGCATTTACTACATTTCTTTTATTTCAGCCTGCCCCTATGTCAGGTACTCCTGTTCCAGCCGATGAGCATGTGTCTTCCCATTATATTAATTCACCTTCAAGAAAGCGGTTAAAGAAAACATCCTCTTCTCGTGCTTCCACTTCTCCTCCTCCTTTGCTCCCTTTTCAGCACGATTCCTCCTGTGATAAGAAGGAACGACATCGATTGAAGAAGCGACGGCAGATTCATCAACCTCCCTTCTCTTCAGATGATGAAGATGAGGATGAAGAAGACCAAATTCGTAGAAATCGAAATTCGTGTATGTTTTAAGTTTGAATTTTTCAATTGAATTGAGTTGAATAGTCATTTGTGGCGTAGTGCATGTCCATTAGAGGTACGTTTTTTGTTTCCCTTTTCAGGGATTTAGGACGGCTCGTTCACATGTCTGGGTTCCCCTGGTGTCTTGTTTCAATAAATCGTGTTTTATCGAAACCTCTGAATTAACTTCTCTTTTAACTGCTCCAGTTTGTTTTCGCCGATTCGTTAGTTAACTTGTTTCCGTGGTTAATTGAGATGAATCCCCTCATTGTTCCCTCGTTTGTTGTATACGCTAATTTCAATAATAAAATCGATGCGGTTAATACAATGCTCAAGCTCATCTTGGGCAGGGCAATTCAGAATTAATCATTCTTCTGTTAACCGTTAGCTAATTTGCCAATGAGTTTCGAATTATTGACCTCTCTTGCATTATTATTATTATCGATAAGATACCCAAAGCTGTTTATCTGTGTTCCTAGCTAATTTCTCTCGTTAAGAATTTGAATTTCCTTCATTTGTTTTTGAAGTCATATTCTCTTCCATGCTTTAGCTCATCGTTCAATGCTAGTCGCTGACCAATTACCACAAACTAAACACAAACCAAGCCATGGTCGAATAGCCGATGTATCGTCTCCGAGCTCGCAGGTGCATCGCAAGAGGCGAAAAGCCCCCGCAATTAGCTCCTCTTCCTCGACATTGTCCTCTGCACAATCTTCCTCCAGTTCCTCAGAAGACTTTAAGTCCGCCTCCTTCGGCAAACAAAGTCAGAGGAGAAGGAAAAATACTTCACATTCCTCGCAGGAAGAAAAACCCACCATTCAGCGAGTCAAACGAGAATTAACTCCAAGTACAGATCCCTGCACAGACAGCTCAGAGTATGAGGCTTGTGAAAATGATGGCTTAGTATCCAGCTCTAAGTATGATGAACTTCTCTCGGATTTATCTGATTCGGATAGAGCGGAAATGATTATAGAGGCAGAGAAAAGGATTGCAGAGGAGGTGGCAAAGTTTGCAGCCACGGCGACGGATTTCTCCAACCATATTTCACAATTTTTGCTTCGAGTTGGGGGATTAGATCTCTTGAAATTTGCCGGGGAAATGAATGTGACTGCTGTGGATCCCGTTGCGGGGCATGGTGATGATTCTGCCACAATGGTTGACCAAACTCCTGTGGAAGCACGGCTCTCACGAAGGGAAGTTAATGCGCTCTACAATGAGGCAGAAGAGGTGCGGGTTGCTGGGTCGATATCGGATGAGCCGAGTGGTCGTTTAGTGCGATTCTTGAATCTCCTTCGAGTGCATATTCGCGATGCTTCTGCTCTAATGGCACCGAATCCCACTATCGTAAGTCACTCGTCTAATATTGACTCCCACGCTTCTAATTGTTTATTTGGAAGGATATATTTTGCTCTCTGTGGTTATCTAAAAAGTATTGCAGAGTAAACGGTGAATGGATGTATAAAAATTAGCCTTGTCTTGTCTTTACTTTACCTCTTTCCCTTTCTTTTGGAGATGCCATCTTGGCTGACAAACGGATGAACTTAAATGTCTGTTTACGTAAATCTCAGTGTGTGTGTGTATTGACTGCAAGCAACGCAAATTAAGAATAGTGTATTTGTTTTAGCTTACGCAATAAATGAGAGAATGAGATTTGTTAGCCACAACTGATGAATGTATGCATCGCTTGCTTTATATATATACGCTGAACAGTGTCAAGTAAATGGTGGTATTCATCCTTCTAAGCGAACGTGGATCGAATCTAGAAATGAAATGAAGATGGCTAAAGCTAGTGAACAGCGATCAAGTCAACTTGGGATGCTGTAGCGGCCACTACTAACTTAAAATCCTTAATTGAATATGATCTTAAAATCATATGTTAAATGTACATTTCAAATAACAAATAAGCGGACAGAAATGGTGAATAGATTCAATAATAGGACTGTCCTTTCTTCTATTTACACCCAGAATGGAAATTCCACAGTGTGAGAATGTGCTTGCCAAGTTGATGTCTCACCTTATAACAGTTCATGAATCTCGTTCTTTATTAAATGCGCTTAGCATTACAGGCTTAAGAAATCATGCATTCCCGTTGATTCGGATTACTGAATGCGCGAAGCTCTTAATCGGTGAAGTCCTTAGCGCTAAAGGACTCTCTTCTATGATAAACTTTTTTATTTCAGGCTGATTTCAAGGATCTTATCCAGAGAAGAAAGGCTCGTCTAGATCGTCGCAATGCTGCTGGTGGGGGCGGAAATTCAGACAACTCAGGTGGAAATCGAGAGCTAATTTCCGAGGCTATTCTATGGTCACATCCAGTTTGGATGCGAGTCCTACGAGGTTTGGACTCAGCTTTAATTGCTCTCCACATTATCGCCGGTCCAGATGTTCCGCGTGGAAGACTCCTGGCCATGGAGGAATTGGTTGAATCGATTACTGCAATCACGCAATTCCACTTCAATAGACTAACATCGGTTATTCATCTCCCACAGGGTGGTGAGTTCTCTTTGCCCTTCTATGCTGGCTTGTGGCTGGCGGCTTTCTCTCTTCGTTTATTTGAATGCAATTAGACTTTCTTTTTAAATAGTAATGCATTAGTGGGCCTTTTAGTTCTCTTTGTGTATATGTAAACTACTGGGATGACAAACTTGATATTCCCTTTAGTAAATAAAAACCGCTTAAAATACAATTTTTACAATTTTACTGGATTGGTCCTCCAGTAAATTAGCGCTGGAATTAATTCATTTTCCCAGTACTCTTTCCTAATAACCATGCTGAGTCTAAGAAATGGCTTATTGTTTTGGCTTTAAAATAACTCTTCTCTAATTTTTTTTCATAAGTGTTCTAAATATTAGAGCATTTTGTGATTACGTAGAATGGAATTTGTTTTACTATTTAATAGCTGACAAAATGCTAATTCTATTTCCTCATTGTGAATGGTTCCAATTGTATAAATAGAACTTTATGAGTGCATTATCGATTTTAAGTCGATTTTTCGGATCTTCCGCCTTCTCTTTGCACTTTATTCTAATTCAAATGAATGTATGGGGTGTCTTCAATAATATCAGCATCTATAACATTTATTTCTTTATATCAAATGGCAGGCGTCTTGATGGTTATCATTAGCCCTTAAGTTGACTTCAGGCTTCACAGAGGGGAAGGAATATCAAATTGGAAAAATTCGAGAGGGGGGTTGGGGAACAGAAGAGTGTTTCAAAGACGAAGGTAGAAAAAAGGTGAGGTGAGTACTGTGGAAGTAGTCGAATATAACATACAATGGGGTGAGGGTAGTTTGAAGTCAGAAGTCAACTGCCAGTCAATAGACTTTTTTGCCGTATGGATATATGTTGCCCAGGGTGCACCACGTGGAGGTAAGTCTATCGCATACCCCACATCTATAACATAAAGCCTGCCATTTGAAATAATAACAGTAATAATATTGTTGGAGAATTCTTCGAAAGTTTTGTGTGGCCATTGTTTTGAACAACTCAGCGGATGTTTTTTTAATTGGTCTAATTTCATGGCAACAGAGTCAGAATTTGCTGGAGGGACAGAAAAGCGCGTGTTTCTCAACTAAAAGACCTCCTAGATGGTTGCTGTAAATAGATTTATTTCGATGGATTTGAAAAGTGCATTTCCAATTCTAATAAATTGCCCCTAAAAGCCGAATTTTCCACCGGTGATGATGGGATTTTCAGTTATTCTATTTGCCCTTGTAATGCAC